AGCAAAGGGAGGCAACTACAAGGGAGGTTCAACCAAACAGAGATGCAGAAGAAACAGTGTGGTTCAATGACCAGCCAATTGGATGTGGCTGAAACACAAGGAGACTGAAGAAGGAGGCAATGATGACGGAGGTTTCAACACTGGACAACAAATATAGCTTATTATTTGAGCAATCTCTGTGAAATACTATGAAATATTTGTTTGAAGAGAACAGTGAGGATCAAAGTTAATTTTGTATTCTTCTAGATAGACATAGAAAATCTTACAATGAAATATGATTCATAAATTCAAAAATGATAAAAGTTCTGCTAAGAACGAATACTCCATCTGTTATCAATGAAATGCCAACTACTGTTTATGGTAGTTATTCATTCATCCAGCCAAAGAACATGAAGTGGTGCTATGATCAAGAATCACCAATATGGTATATGTGAAGGCCTCTGACCTCAAGAAACTTATCACGTAATTTCATTTGGTATTTGGCAATAGAAAAAGTTGTGTAGAGTAGAAGAGTTGAGGACATTAATAAGGAAAAAATAAATTAGGAAATAATGACTCCAGCTTAAAAATAAGACTGTAGTTATACAAATAATTTGCCATTTTATATTTTTCAGTGGAAGAATAGTAGTAATTTCTTCTAGTGACTATGCCATTCTTTTCTTCAGCCCGAAGTTAGGATGGTTGAGCCATATTTACATGATAGCACATAACTGTCTAGAGAGGTCATGAGACTTGGGAATATACAAATATGTACAAATTCTGAGAAACTAAGATTTCAGGAACTTCCAAATGGGTTTGGTGTGAAGTGACTAAGGTTATATCATCCTGACTCCATTTTGTAGTTGCTTAGCCAGTTCTCAGCCATCTGTCCCTTACCCACCAACAGTCACATCTGCCTTGGAAAGACATTTGGAATTTCCATGACCCTGACCATGATCCAGATGTATTAACCAAAATAATTAATGTTTATTCAAACTTAAATTAAAATAGCTAAAGTATAAGTATAAGTCAAAGTTAGTGTCATGTTGTATCTGAAATAACTATGTTCTGCCTAAACAAACATTTTTTGGTTACTCTGACTCTCATCCAATGCTGCTGTAACTGTGGTTTTGCTTTTAAAAATGATGCATCCCTGGGGTTGGCACCAAGAGACTTTGAGGCATGAGCCTTCTCTTGGTCACCAGCCAAAATTAAAGGACTCATGTTTCTTAATTGGCTTAATCAACATGGTTGTCTGTAATCTTTATCATGTGGGTTTATTACTGCTAGACACAGGAATAGAAGGAGGAAATGAAAACTTGGAAATAGGCTTTGTCAACTTCGGTACCAATTAAGTGAAAATGGCTGCAGATCTCCCCTAACCAATTATATGTGTTCCTCTTTGTGCTATTAACTGGACCAGCTCTGCCATGAAGTTCCCAAACCAGAGAAATATTCACTATAGAGATGATATCTGCTACTTGTTTTGAGCTGAAGAAGACACTGAAAGCAGGAGGAATTTAGGACTGAGTTCTCCAGATTCCTTCTGATGTGGTCAACAACACAGGCTGAGAGACTATGTTAAAGGCAACATCTCGACATGATCTATTCAGTTGGTAAAGAGATAGTACTTCCAAACTTCAGTGTATCAAGAAGGACATGAGCACAAGGGTAGAATAACTTGCTCATAGTGAATACTGAGTCCATAGGAAATTAAAGCCAGGATCGCCTGGGTCTGTGCTGTGTTCCCCACTGGCCTGTGTCATGATGGCGCCATGAAGTGCATTAAGCAATACACCAACTCCTGCAGTGCTGGCAGCAAGTCATTAATTATGGCATCTGTCTACTCCTCGGCAAGAGAAATTGGCTCTGTAATTACCACCCTAATGATGTCTTTTGTTTCAACAGGCACGTAACATTTATTTCTTTCACCTGGAAGGAAAATGAAGCGTACTCTACTTTTTTTTTTTTTTTTTAAATCCTCAAAGTCCAGGAAAAATAGGCTGGAGATGATATGTCTTTATCAGCTTTAGAACATCTCTGAGAAGAGGAGGTAACAGCCATTTAATAACAATTGTTAAAATAATACATGAAGGCTTCTTAGAGCAGTTGAAAGTATAATATATATGTTTTCTCCTTCCAATATAATGTAAAATATGGGAGCTGCTGGTTCCCTTAGATACAACATGGAGACAAAGCAACACAGCATTACTGTGCCTAAGACAGGGTCCAAGACCTACAGAGGACAGTGCTATGGTGCCGTCTTGTTGAGTCCAGATTTGCGTTATAAACCTCATTCCATCTCTCTGGGCAGCTACCTCCAGTCATTTGGCACAGGCAGGCACCCGACACAAAACCTTTGCCACAGCAGCTTCTGAGCTTACCTCCTGAGGAGCCCTCAGGAACTCACCGAGCGATGGGCCTGACCAAGCCAGTTATTCTGAGCATTCTCAAGGCTCTGCAGTTCAGGCTGAGGTCATGCCTACCCGGCCACCACCACACCCAGACACTTTCCAGTTTGACCTCTTTACACTTCCTGGAATTTCAGAATTTTAGACAGTCTCACTGAAGAATGCCTGCTTGGTTGAAGTCTAGGTTTTGTTTAAGTGTTTAGAATGAGTCATCTTTTAAATCACAGTTGAAAAGATACTGCTTTTGCTTAGTAAACTGGGTTTCCTGATAGACAAGGGAGAAAAATGCTAGTTACACAAAGAAATAATTATTTGTAAACTCAAATACCTCAAGTGCATCTTGGACAGCTATTTTTTTAAACCCCAATATAAGGTTAAACCCATTTTTCTGGTTCCGTCTTTTACAAGGAAGACAGCCATATATTTAAACTTTCTATAAGCGACCAGTTGTCCATACAAGAGAGCATGGAACTGATACTCTCACAATTCTAAGTTCTAACACTGACTATAACTTTATTTATTTTTAAAGGCTTTTCTTTATTTTTGAGAATATTATACATGTACACAATGAAATATCATATCCCCACTGTCCCCCTTAACTCTCCCCCTATGTCCCTTTCCAATTTTATGTGTTTTCTCTCTCATTAAGTCCATGTGTGCATGGGTGTGGAGCATCTGCCAGATCATGAACACCTAGCAGTTATCCTCTTGATAAAGAGTGATTCTCCCTCCCCAGGAACTCTCAGAGGCCAGTAACTCCTCAGTAAGGGGTAAGGCCTGGCGATCACCTACCTCATCTATTGATTGGCTTAGTCTTGTAAAACATAGCTCACATCTTGTTTCCCCATTTTCTCATGGATATTAGTAATATTAAGCCTTACTCTAATCAACATTTATCACTATGACAAAAATTCAAATTTTATTTTGAAAATATTTTAGGGGGCTGAGGAGATGACTCAGTGGATGGAGTACTTGCAGCACAAGTATAAAGACCCTAGTGCAGGTCTCCTGAACACATGTAAAGGTGGGTACAGCAGAGGCGTCTGCAACCTCATCCCTGTGGGAGCGGAGTGATCACTGGATCCTTGGAGAGCTTGGTTACCCAGAACGAGATCCTCATCAAGGGACCCTGTCCTATAGAATCTGTAGAGGTGGAGGGTAACTGAGAACGGCACCTGAGCTCAACTTCTAGCATATGAGATGTGTACACAGATGCATGTACACCAGCATGTATGTGTGCGAACAGCCTCTCACCTCAGGCATACACATAAACACAAACAACATCCCAGATGAAGATTTTTTTGTACATCATCAGTCAGAGCTATATGTTTCGCAGTGAAAGCCATCTTCGCTTTAGATTTTCAAATAACCTCAGCCTGGAACTAAGGAACATTTAAGACGTGATCTCCCAGCTGCATCCCCCCACCTGGGTGTTTCTACGTCTTGTTTTCTCCTTATGGGCACGGCCAAGCTGGACTGCGGGGTTAAGGAGGTGAATGGTTGGTGTGCTCATCAATGAAGATGAGGCAGGAAACGCAGACGATCCAGTTCCCTCTAACAACGTTCCCGAATGCTAAGCTTCTTTAAATCTTCCTCGCTGTTAGGAAAGGTTCATTTCAGAGTCTGTGAGAGGATCCCTCGCCCAGGATGCTCATCTGTGTCCTCCCCCCTTCACAGCAGAAGCAGCTTTGATGTAGGAATCTATATTACCATCAGCTGTAAAGGAAGTTTCAACCTTTCTTATCCCATTAAACATTAATTAAAATTGAATTTATTTATTTGTGTGTATGTGTTTGGATGTGCACATTAGTGTGTACAGGCAGTCAGAGGCTAAGCTGCAGGAATAAGTTTGTTCCCTTCACCCTTCATGTGGGTCCTGAGGTCCAAAGTCAGGTCATGGGGCACAGCAGAGTGCCTCTACCCACTGAGCCATCCTGCTGACTCTCTTTTAAATTTCTTTCTTTGTTTCTTTTATTGTTTCCTTCTTTGTTTCTTTCTTTCCTTTCTCTCTCTCTTTCTTTCCCTTCTCTCTCTTTCCATATTGTGATAGAATTTAAGCATGAAGGTTCTTACACTTATTCCTCTGTTGTCTCTATAATGTTCCGCATGTGGAATTTCTATGCTGCAACCCTTGTACATCTTCTGATCCCAGAGTTCATGAAGGTGCTCCTATCCCAACTGAGCAGTGCATTCCCTGTTCATATGTCTGTGACCTCACATCCCAAATATCAGAGGGAGGGAGGGAGGAAGGGAGGAAAAAAAGGAAAGGAGGACAGGGAGGAAAGGATAGTTTTTATTTTGCTTTTTAAAGGCATATTCATAAGTGTTTGGCTAGATACCAGCTTGGCAGTGTTGTGTGTTGTGGATATCAGTAAAAAGAACGATAACAAGAGCATAGCAAGGCCATGCATTATATGAAGACCTTACTGATAGAGACATCAGGCCAGTGAATGAGACTGTTTTTTTTTTTTTTTTTTTGAGTTGGTGTTTGTTCAAGGTGACACCCTCTTTCATACCGCCTACCTCCTCCCTAAGTGACTCAGTGTTGAGAGAGAAGCCTCTAAGCTGTTCATTAACAGAGTCAAGCAGAGGTGGGAACTGCACCTAGGAAGCTCCAGGTGCCCGATCCACTTGGGGAAATCACTGCGGACCAGTGAGCCAAGAAGCCCGGTTTCTGCGCAAGAAAGGTAAGTTCAATTCTATTTGCAAAGATAAAAACAGCTGCTTTGCGGTTTGTGCAAACTTTCTCTGTTCCCCCTCCAAAAGATTCAGATCGGGGCTGTCTGCGTTATCTTTGACTTGTTTCCAGTTACATTCTGACAGCCTCTGTGTGCCAATAAACTCACCTTTAGTTCCCAGGGCTTTTAACTTGGCCCTTGTGCACATCGCCGTGTCCCTGACAAAGAGAACCTTCTGAGTTTCCCGTGGGAGCTGGCAACTTGGAAATCCTACTTCCCATAAAGATAATAAATAAAGCTTTTAAATCAAGGACGCAGCACTCACTGGTCTGTTTTCTCCAGTGACTATAAAACTGTTTTATAAAAAAGATCTTCCTGTTTTTCATAAACGATGCTTCTAGTGAAATAGTAAACTTTCTTGATTTACAACAAAGACTGCACATCTAGTCGACCTTACTATCTTCAAATAAGAAACTCAGCCTTGCTTTCTGCTGAGAACCGTGGGATGGAGTAAGGCTGGGGTGACATGGAGATGTGTGGTTCTTCACAGGGCTTTATTCATATGTGACCGACTTTGGTATGCTCTGAATCAGCCTGAGAGTGGATTAAGGTATGCAGAGGCAATTTTCAGCCTCTCTGCTCATCTTACTCCTGAAAACCCAACTGGCTAGTCGGGCTCATTTTTTTTTTAATTTTATTTCTTTTAACACTTCTGTTTCTGATACGGAGCAGTGGGGATCACACACGGCTTGAAGCAGCCCTTTCCTCCTGCAGACCTGGCTCTATTTAAGGTCTAGAGGTGTCGTTGCTTTCTATGACTGACTAAACTACCTGGGTCTCAGAGGGGCTAAGATGTGTCAGTGCTCAGTTCCCAAACGTTTCCTGAAGAGCTTCATTGCTTGGATTTCTGACATGTATGCTCAACAGCAAGAGCAGGATAGGATGTGCGGAGTACAGTTTTATTTTTCATGAAATTAAAAATTGGCTTTCACGTCTGTAGCTGATAATACAGATATGGCCTTTCTGATGCTGGCTATTCTCTAGTATTTACAATATTAAAAAAAAAAAACCTAAGCATTTACCAAGACATTTAGATTATGAATGTCAAGATACACAGAGAATATATAGAAACAGTTTGGAATTTTATAGAAATGTAGCAACTCGCTGGTATAATTTTCAACTGGAGAGAAACTACAGGATCTTCTAGGTCAGCCTGTGTATTTTCTTTTTAAAATTATTACTATTTTCTGATGCGTGTATACATGTGTGATATGTGCATGAGTGTGGGAGAGTGCATACCACAGCATGCTTGTGGAGATCAGAGGACAGTTTTCAGGGGCCATTGCTCTCCTTCCACCTTTTTTTGAGATAGCATCTCTCCTTTCTGCTGTATAAACAGTCTAGTTGGCCCATGTAGGTGATTGTCCTGTTTCTGTCTCCCATTTCATGGCAGGGAGGCAGCTGAAAGTACAAATACGCCTTACTACATTTGGCTTTTTCTCTTGGTTTTCAGGGATCAAATCAGGTGGTGAGGCTCTGAGCCACCTCAGCGGCCCTTCCCTTTATCTTTTCCAAATGAAGGATCAAAGAATAAGTATTAGGCAACCTTCCTGGCCTAGAGTAGCAGGACCAGAATGTGAAGTTATATCTCTGTCATTTGCCCTACTGGATTTTCTCGATGATTTTTCAAGTTTCTCTCATATAAAAAGTAGTCATAAAATGAACTACACTCTTGCTTTATAAGAGGACTATAAGTATATGTAAGCAAGAGTGCCTTTGCCCAGCATGACAAATGCTATTATATTGTATGTGGTAAATTTTAAAATTTGTGGCTTTTGGACTTGGTCTTTTACTTTTTATATTTGTGGGGTTATCTGGTAGATCTGTGAAGGGTCCCCACAGTCAGCACTGTCCTCATCCCAACTGCCATTCTGTAGCCTTCCCCGACTGTCAGAACTCTGACAGCTGTTCTTGAGAATGTCCCATTCCTGGGAATCTTGTAAACAAAACAGAAATGTGCTTCGAATGACTGAGTTCATACTGCAGAAGGAATGGCATAGAGTCCACCAGGCAGTCAACCCAAGAAAAGGGTGATTTCAGATAGCACCTGGGGTGGTAGATGCATTCCTTCAGAGCAAGGAGTTAAAATCCTTTGCTCAGCAGTCAAGGAGAAATCTCAGTGGTTCCCTACCTCTCAGCCATTTGTAGACCTTTGTCTGTTTTCTCATCTCAGGAACTTTGAAATAAATGAAGGCTGTAGGTACTGGTTCCTGCACACCTCCCCGTAGCTGCCCAGTGTTAGACACGGGGCAAATCAATTAGGAGTTCCAGATTTGGGTGAGGCTCTTCCTCAGGTGCATGTTTTGGGGATGACAGTTTCATTGACTATGCTTGCCAGTTTATGTCAGTTATCAAATTCTTTAAAGATATGGATGGTCCTTTTATTGTGATCATTAATTAGAAGAGGGAGTTTTATGTTAAATGTATCTTAAATGCCAATAGGCTTACACCCAGACAAGACAGACGAATAGTCCTGACTATTCATTGTAATTGCACACTCAAGAACTCTAAGGATCTAAATAATGTGTCCTAAGTTGTCGCTAAACTCAAGGTTCTTGGCTCTAAAATGTAGCAAATCTTTTTTCTGTGGAAATTCCCAAGAAGGAACTAGTTAGCGCATTGCAGTACATATATCCCAAGCGACTGCAGGGGCCTTCCAAAAAGTGTGTGAGGATAACATGGTAGCAGAGTCTGTGTCTGCATGAAGACTTAACCAGTTAAAAGGGCTGTAGAAAGTACCCCAGCATGCCTGCTTTCTTCCCCTTCATCATTAGGGATGCTGTGTGCAAAAAGCTAAAAGACAGCTATGTACAGAAAGTTCAAGGGGCTCTCTCCCAATAGTCTTGACCTTGAATCAGCTAAACTAGAAGTGGTTCATGATAGGACTCTGATGATAGGTACATTTTTTAAATTAAATTTGTATTTTTATATTAATTACAGTTTATTTGTTTTGTATCCCAGCTGTAGCCCCCTCCACCATTTCCTCCCAATCCTACCCTTCCTTCCTCATCTTCTCCCATGTGTCTCTCCAAGTCCACTGATAGGGAAGGTCCTCTTCCCCTTCCATCTGACCATAGCTTATAAGGTCTCATCAGAACTGTGGCCTGACAAGGCTGCTCCCCCCTTAGGGGAGATCAAGGAGCCAGCCACTGAGTTCATGTCAGAGACAGTCCCTGTTCCTCTTACTAGGGATCTATCCCACTTGGATACTGAACTGCCATGGGCTACATCTGAGCTACTCTCTCCTGCTCTCGTAATACTTTGGTAAAATGAGCTATGAGAGTTTGCTCCGGCTCATGCAGCTGGTTGACCCATCACAAAGCTCTGCAGGAAAGGGCCTGTTGTTTTATTTACCATTTCTTTTAGTCCAGTAGCTTTCTATTCACTGCCCCCTTCTATTTGCTATGTTTCTAAGACAGGGACTTTGGTATCAGCTGGGTCTGAGGTTGAACCTCCATGATGTAATCCACCAGCTATATAACCCCAGGCAAACCATTCGTCCTGAGATTCCTACCCAGGATAAACCTGCTCCTATTTTTAGCTCCTGTCCTATCTTTCTGTAAAGTGACTTGGATGTTATTTTAATCATAGGGATTGCTTTAGCTACTTTTTGTTGCTGTGATAGAACAACATGACTTAGAGAATATAGAATTTATATTGGCTTATCATTCCAGAGTAGTAGAGGCAAGGCAAAAGCGTAGGAAGCAAGGAGTTCCTATCTTCAAAGATAAGCATGAAGGAAGAGAGCAGACTGGAATTAGATGAGGCTTTTGATCTCACTGCCCATTCTTGCAAGGATGTCCTTCCTCCGGAAAGGCTGAACCATCTAAACTTCCCCAAACAGCCCCACAACTGGGGACTAACTGCAGGAGCCTGTGGGGAACACTTTCATTCAAATGACCAAATTTCACTCCATAGCCTCATTGGGTTATGGCATTTCATGTAGTGAGTGACGATAATCATTGTAAACTAATGACCTAAGAATGTTATGTGCATCTTAAATGAGATGATTGCACAAAACATAAACTTGTTAACCCATAACTCAGGTTTTTGTTTTCCCTCTTGCTTTTTCTAGTTTTTTTCCTTTATCCTCTACTTTCAGCTCTACCTTTTTTCTTTTCTGTTTCACTTTCTAGTCTTCCCCTCTCTGGGCCCCTCTCCATCCAGTCTAAAATTTTTGCTTTCACAATCTTTCTCACGAAAATGCTAGCAGAAAGAAGATAAAGGTTTTGTCGACCAAGAGTCATTTCATCCTTAGTATTTTTAAAAGTATGTCTTTGCAGAGAAGACCCAAAGTTGAAAAAAGAAATTGCAGTTGAAGTGGGGAGTGGCAGGGAATTCCAGAAGCTGAGGGAGTTGGGGATCCATCAGGGGAACAGTTTACTGATGGATGTGAAAGGTACCCCAAGAAATGCCTCCATTAAAAACAGAAAATACTTGAGCATCTTTTGGATATATGCCTAGGAATGGTAGAGCTGAATCTTGAGGAAGCTCTATTCCTAATTGTCTGAGAAAGTGCCAGATTCATTTCCCCAGTGGTTGTACAAGTTTACATTCCCACCAGCAATGGAGGAGGGTTCCCCTTTCTCCACATCCTCTCCAGCATGTGTTGGCACTTGAGCTCTAGATCTTAGCCGTTCTAATGGGTGTAAGGTGAAATCTCAGGGTCGTTTTGATTTGCATTTCTCTGACATTCGCTTAATCATGTTCATAGCAGCTTTATTTGTAATAGCCAGAATCTGGAAACAACCCTGATGTTCCTCAGTTGAGGAATGGATACAGAAATTGTGGTACATTTACACAATGGAATACTACTCAGCAATTAAAAACAAGGAAATCATGAAATTTGTAGGCAAATGGTGGGAACTAGGAAAGATCATCCTAAGTGAGCTATCCCAGAAGCAGAAAGACATACGTGGTATATACTCACTTATAAGTGGATATTAGAT